AAAAAAAAAAAAAAAAAAAAAAAAAAAAAAAAAATAAATATACCGACGAATTGAATACCTCCTTCTTTTGGGAAGTCGGTCAAAAATAGCACATTTTCAAATTGTTTTAAAGGATAATTGTCAAGTAAAGCTAGACATAATAAGGTTATTTATGACAAGAAAACATTCTAGTTTGATCTATTTATATCTCAGGCATGAAACGGAATCCGACGGTACCCTGGACTCCCTGGACCGCTGCATGTGCAGGCAGAAACGGGACTGCATGCAGCGACTGACCAATGCGGTGAGCTACTTTGAAATAACTATATATTCATAACAAAAAGCCATGTAACTATAGTTCTTGTATCATTAGAAAAAGTACGGTTTTTCTGAAATACATTAATAAAAAACGATATCTATTTATATTTACTTTCAGCGCGTGTGCGGTCCGAATATGAAATTGTGTTGCTTCACTGACCACAATCCTTCAGGTATAACCACAGCACATACGACGGTGCATCTTCATTTATGCTATGTATTTTTTTTGGAATCCTAAACTAAAAAGAAAAAATTTGACAGCCGTGAACCGAGCAGAGTACTTCAACGAGCTAGTAGACGAGCGCCCCATGCTGCTACCGGGCCGTGCGCTTAACAGCGGGCCCTTCCCGCCTCCCCCCGACTCCGTGCTCACCGGTGCCGGCAAGTTCGCGCCCGGCAGAGCCCCTGATGCCATGCTGCTCGCTGCGCTCGACATGTACCGCGCCCAGCCCGCCCCTACCCGCTCGCGTCTAGGGGCTCTGCTACCAGCTCGCAAACACGTTCCCACGCCGCAGCTCAACCGGCCTGTGCTTATCGGCACCGGAGGCCCCAACGCGCTGCACCGTGCCGGCACGCACATGGTGCCCAAAACTAACTACATACCACCTGACAGCAAAAGACCGATTCTCGTCGGTGCCGAAGGACCTACCGGAGTTGTAGGATCCTACAGAATCGGCCCGCAAAGTCAGCACCCGAAGCCTTTGGTTATCAACGACGAGAGACCGGGACTAGCGAACCCCAATGGACAGAATTACGAAGGCAGTCTCATTCCGTACAGTTTGCAGCAGGACTTGCACCCGAGCCAGTCCGCCCAGAGACCGATCCTTGTCGGCCCCGGAGGCCCAACCGGCGTTATTGGGCCGGAGTACAATCAGCGACCGATTCTGGTAGGTCCAGGCGGACCCACGGGCTTGATCGGACCGCGCAGGCCTATCTTGGTTGGTCTCGGGGGACAACCGGGTATGATCGGACCAAACTACATGCCGACAGCGAAGCCAGGCGTCCGACGACCTGTGCTGGTGGGCCCCGGCGGACCGACGGGGGTCATAGGACCCTACAGGATATATTTTAAGTAACGTAGTGTTAGCTGTTATTGTTAATTTCTTTTATTAACACGACTGCAAGCCAACCGCGGTCCTATAGGATTGTTTTAATGTAAATAATTTAACAAATAAAACTTTAATTCGATAAAGAAATATTTTAATACCAAAATGTAAAAAGTTTAATAATATTAAAAAAAACTATGTATTTTGTTTTGAAAGCTGGACAGAGATGCGAACCGACTCTAGTCCATGAACACAAACTAGCGAAAAAACATCCAGTGTAAAAAAAACTAATACATAATTAAATAAAATCTTAAGTTACCTAATGTTTTATTTCTCTACATTATATCCAGCTAAATTAAGGTCAAAAATTGCGTTTTCAAACGTAAATTTTGCTCACGAAAATTAATTTTTCATTGCATTTGTGTCCAGTAGATAGATATAAGATATGAAATATTGTACATCAAATATCATAACATTTTGTAGACGACATATAGTTTATTTAATGAGTCCAATTATTTTAAAAAATAAAAATTATCGCTGGCGTGGATATAAAATTTTTGACGTATGTTGACAGAAATTGGCGCCTTGCCAACCACTAGCTCACTACATACGTCTACGATACAAATTCGCCCTTGACTCCTCTAATAAATTGAATGAAGGAATTTATAGAAAACTAAAAAATCACTTAAACTAAATAAAACAAATATATTTTGATTCTTAGTTGCTATTTTACAGAATTAAAAAAAAACAAAAGAGCCTCTTAACTTCCTTTTTACCACATTTCTCGATGCCAATTCAATGTTTAAAAACATACGCTTGTTCCTTATTGTAACTGAAAAAATATGTTAAAAGTAAAGCAATAAAATCTCCCAAAATATTGGTTACCCAAGCGCGTGTTTTAAACTGGAGTCATGTCAACAAGTACCAATAACAATCCAAGAGTTCTCCCGTACTTTACGATCACACATAAAACTATTATTGACTTTGTTTCTGGATTTAAAAAACGAGGAATACAAACTGAAGTGGTAGTCTATAAGGGGTTACATATAATACAATACTTGATGTTGGCAGCTTGTAGCTTATGGTCCCTTTTACACATTAGGATTTTTATCTAAAATATTTATCCCCTAAGTTTGATGGCGTTAAAATGTATAGCCTAAAGCGTGGCGCAAGTGTAGGGCTTTTTATTAAAAAAAGGATGATTTAAAAATATGCTGTAATTGCTGAGATCTTAGGCAATAAAGAAGTGGGTCTTTACGCTTTATTATAGAGTATAGATGAATATGCTCTTAAGAATGTAAAGAAAAGTTTTTGAGTTATCATTAATTGTATTTCTAAAAAGGATATTTTAGTACTTACCGATGGTAGTGATGACGATGATGCTGTAAAATAAAGCACCGGTGAAGGTCCACTGGATATGATCTGTGCTCTCATTGCCATCCCAGCCGCGCACCTTCATTTCCAATAGAATTGCATTCTCGAAATCCTGATCAAATTGCAAATAATATCAGCAGGGCATCAATAATACCAAAGTCCATCGTAATCGTCGTAAGCAATACCTTAAGCATGTCCACAACATCAGATGTCCAGTTAGTCTGGTTGAGGAGAGGCACCGTGCGCGTCATGTGCCAGATGCTCTGCGTCGTGTTGCTGCGGATCTGGGAAATGTTCATCTTCACCTGGATACCATCACCAACTTTAATATAACGAACACTATCATTCACCTCAGCTGATTTTTTTACTAGTGTATAAGAGTAAGTATGAAAGTATGACCTCTCTCTCGTGCTGTGCTTCAAGTCGCTCGAAGGTGACAGCGCCGAGGATGCAATAGGCCACTACCAGACTGATCATCACGAAGTGGGAGAAGACCAGTGAGCACAGCTTCCACGTGTAGTACAGCACCTATACAACTTCTCATTAATCACTAAGCTTTTCAATCAAGAAGGTGGGTAACAAGTAAGCAGTTCACCATTGGTATGTGACCGCTACCTAATTATCCGACTATTGTCATATCAGGTCTTTTGAAATACTTTAAAGAAATATTTCAATTTTAATTTTGAATCTGCATATCTGTTTGATGGAATGCTTATAAAATTCAGTTTGAAGTTTAACACAAACTATAATCATGGATGGAAAGTATTGAAGTTTTAATTTGGTAGAAAGTTGTTACTAAAATAGAATTTTTGTTAACTATTTATCATTTTAAATTGACACCAGTAGCCGTTCAAATATGCGATTCATTTATTTTCTGTCGTTGACGAGGCTAAGGGCTTCTTAAAAATAGTTTTTTTTTTTACTTTTTTTTTGTGAGATTATTTTTTAAGTTTCCATTTCACAGTTCTATATTCTTACTGGGTATATAGTATGTTTACCTTAGCACACTTGCTGGGTGGCGGCGGAGGATACTCCATGACGCGCTCCACGCGCATTTCACGACGCGACATTTTGCACACACTGCACAATAGCTATTTGTTTACCGTATTAACAATAAGTAAATAAGTTTATTAATACACTGTGTTTATTCCATTTATTTTATTCAATTAAAAGACATATAAAGGCTCCAAAACGTACACAAAAAATATCCAAATACAAGTGTTCGCAATTAAATTATGAATTGTAAGAAATTAATAAATTCCTAGGACACCCATCACTTTCAACTATTGGTATCTTCATATAAAACTGACACACAGACTTATTATTTCAATATTTTTATCATAAAAAAAATCAAACACACTGGAATATTTGTAAATAGTATTTTAGTCAATGTTCAAATTATGTTTGACGCTCTTTAGTCCACACAATGTTCTACTAAAATATTTCACTCTTAATAATTTACGTTGATTATATTAAAATTGTTTTGATATGTTTGTATTCAATATTCAGTAAGCAAGGCGGCTGTCCCGGCGACCGCGCGGCGTAAATCTGGCTAAGGCGGGAACGCGTTTTGAATTTTACGACCATTGGTCAGGGTTACCATACTATGAGGATATAGAAACCTCATGGTATGTTGTTTATACACTATAATAAAGGCAAAGTTACTACTCTAGATATAAAATATTTAAATTATAGCCCACGAGCTGTTGCCCGCGACTTCGTCCGCGTGGTATTATAAAACATACGAACTATATAAATAACAAAAAGCTACGTATCCCTCGGGAACCGGACATATCTCGGGAATGAACCTCATCCCATGTGTACTCCAGACTTTGTTTTATATCTGTGCCAAATTTCAAAAGGATATGTTGAACCGTTGCAGAATGATCGAGTAAATATTAAAAAACTAAATTAATGAATCCCACAGGAACCTGTGCCAAATTTCATGGAGATCCGTTCAGCCGTTTAGGCTACAAACGCTAATAAACATCCATCCATCCATCCATCCATCTAAACTTTCGCATTTATAATATTAGTAAGATATCTTGACTCTTTCTCTACCGGTTAGAACTTTGTATCGGTACTTTAGGATGCTGACCGTGTTTACGCTTTATTAGAATATTTCGCGAATTAAATTGAACTTTCATAGATTGAGAGACGATATAATTTTACTTTTGCACGTTTTTTCTTGTCAAAACGATGTATAAAAAAGGGCAGAGTAAAATTAAACCATGCTTCAATTGTATAAAGCTTAATTTCGCTTGTACATTACATCTGCTATGCTCTACGTTCCTGGTCTACGTGAACCAACCCTAGCTGCTACTTTTATATCCATCCTTTTAACGTAGATTACTAAAGGCATATTTATATTTCTCTTTGTAGTCACAATGTTAAATGACATAAAAATATAGAACTCACACATAATATGATAAAGACCTTTTTACGATTACTGGACGCACACCTTTGACTACACTTTCGCGCTACTCTTGTGCGATTTTCGATTGTTTTGCAGCCAATTAAACTATTTAGTTGCACAACTAAAAATCGACTAGTTTGTGTACCTCCACATAAGCTCATAGGAATCAAAGCGCGACTAAACAGTTGTGCGAGAGTTTAGTCAAAAGTGTGCGTGCTCTTAAAATACACCCATACATCCTTATTACGTTCAAATATCCACAAACTGAATCAAAATTAGTTCAATATTCTTGGTTAAAGCGTTCAGGGAATATGGGTCGCGGGCAACGCATTTGATAGCCACAGAAATACGTTGCCATTCATACCGATATTGTGAAATGTCTGGATAATATTCTATTACGATTTGCTCCGACGATTTATTTCTAAACACTTTTCAAGGCTATGGCGAAATCTAATTTATTCGTATTGCTGTTTCCGTTTATATAAATCTACGAAGCAATGACATCTTCTACTAATAAATCTTTTATCTACGTATCCATCTTTTAACTACAAGTATCTTTTGTATATGATAAAGAAGATCTGAATCTACCCGAAAATCGCACAAAGTAAAAAATACTCCAGAGATAGTCAAAAGCGGTCGCGACCCACACGAGTGAGAAAACGGAGAGAGAGAGAAGCCTATCTGTTATCTTATATGTCTTTTTTATAAGAGAAGTGAGCAAACGAGCGGCGGGAACACCGAGGTGGTCGACGACGCCCATGGACATCCGCAACACCGGATCTACAGATGCGTTGCCGGCCTTTTAGGAAATTGTAGGCTCGCTTTTTATATACCTTATATATCTTCGCTGTTTGTGAATGGGGACATAAACAATTAAAAGAAAAGTTTTAAAATACTGGTTAAATAGTTTATTTACAAATAATATATACGCTACTTAATTTAAGTTTTTATTGTTACTGAAATAAATTTAAAAATATTAAGTTTAGTTGACTAATAAATTATGTAAATAGAAATTTATTGCATAACTTTTCTGGACTCTGTACATGCGTGTATTATTATGTACGTTACGTTGTGAAAAAAGTTCTTAATGTCGTTTTTCTTTCGTTTTTCACTTAATTTAACTCTAATTTAGTCGGAATGTTATCAGAAACTTAAATAAAAGATTAAATACACTTAAAAGTAACAACGAAAAACTGAAATTGTTTAAAGGAAACGGAAACAAACTTCAAAAGAAAATAGAGATTATAACATAAATTAAATTATTCATTGTTCAGCATTTGATTTATTGTTGGAATGAATCCATTCAAAAAGAATCTGTAAACACAAGTTTAAATGCATCTTTAATCTATTATGAAATGTTATTATTGGCGCTGGATTCAGTTTACATCGCCGTCATATTCATTGGATTCGACCTCCCGATTTATCCCACGCTCTTTTTGATGTTATGCTTTATGGGTTTATTGCACTATATCTATGTCTCTCGTTATGTGAATATTCACAAAAAAACGGCTTTCGCAATGATGTTAGGCAACAATTTTGATCAAATTGGTGCTAAAAATTGTCACGAGATGGCTCTATTTAAAATTTTTAATATTTCCTAAGATATTAAAAAAATATGTTATTTTAAGGACAACCATGGTAGATTATCGTATTTACTAGCTACACATTTATCACAATTTAATCACAAAAGGTTTTAAGACGTCACATTTAACAGCGTGATGTCACAACTTCTTGTGTCTGAGTGGCTGGTTGGTTGCGAGGCGCGGCCGCTATATGCTCTGCTTCCTGGATGGTGTCTGGTAACCTCGTGTTGAGGGTCTCAGGAGTGGTAAGCATCAGTCCACCAGCGATCAGAGCTGTAGCACCGAACAGGACGGATGGCAGCCAATCTATGTAGATCGCCTGGGAAAAATTAAATTTTTATCTATAAACAATAGAGAAAATGTTTCTAGAAAAATATTTAGTCTATGTTTTTCACAAAAAGTTCTTTATTTCTTTATAATATCAAATCGTATGAGAGCTTATTTATTTAATACTGTGGTTATATTTTAACTACAGCGCCATCTACTTTATTTAATCTGACTGACCAGTAGCGGCATCTGTGGTGCAACAATGGAGCCGATGCGGCCGACCATAGAACAGAAGCCGAGCAGCGAGTGACGCGCGTGCGTCGGGAATAGTTCCGACGTGTACATATAGATGCCGCTGAACGCCTGCGTGATCGCTATCTTTCCCAGCAAGTATAACAGCGTCGCTAACCACGGCATCGCTGGAACATAACAATTCATTCAATAAAAAACGCTATTATAGGAAATAGTCACATGAAGGGGCTGTGCAGTAGTCCGACTCCATAGTATTTTCAAGTTCCAGAAGTAATAAAATAGCATAAGCTTCTATTTTAGTATAATAGAGTAACCTAGCCTATTATATAAATACCAAAGAGTTAGCTAACACGTATACCATACTCACTTTTCGGTACAAAAGTGATAGCCACGCAAGAGATCCCGCAAACCACGTACGCGGCCAGCAGCGTCTTCTTCCTGCCGATGCGGTCCAACACCAGAGCGTTGGTAACCACCGCTATGACCTCCACGCTGACCACCAGCATGAAATTGGTATACTTGTCCCCCGCTAGGGACACAGAGTTTATGGCCAGCCCGTAGAACACGAAGGTGCAAGTGATCCACCACCAAGAGCAAATAGCAAGACGAGTCATGATGATGGGAGACTGCATCACTTGTATCCAAAGTCCCTTCTCTTCCACCTCTTTCTTCTCTTCTGGACTCTTAATCTGCTGTTCCGATTGCAATTGTCGCATCGTTTCATCTGATAACGTCACGTTATTCATCTTCGCAGCTTTCATTATTATCTCCACTGCTTCTTCTTTTCTGTTCTGCGACAGCAGCCAGCGAATACTCTCCGGCAAGAAGTAAATATAGGAGAGGAAGAGCAAAGAAGGCGGATAAACGACCAGTATGAATGTGCGCCAATACTGGAATGTTTTCGCTAGTAAAGCGAAACTCAGACCTCCTAGTACTAAAAGAATACCAAGGAATGCAGTGGTGAGAACTCGCTTGTCTTGACCCAAGAGCTCGATCGCTGAAAAACAAACAAAAAAACATGCATCGTTATATTCTAAGAAATCTCGATGCTGTTTTAAACGCGCAGCAGGTGAGTCCGAACACATTATCTGGTTGTCTGATAAAAAGAAATAAATAGAATGATTTTATAACTCCTTCTTCGAATGGACATTCTCGCTACTTTTATTGCTTGTACTTTTAATTCAAACAATCAAAACAATCTTAAAAATTGTCCTTTTATTATTAGCTTAATTACCGTAAAATTGTAAATCTTAAAGCTTCAAATAAATCAAGAAAAAGTTGAAGTAAAAAGGTACTCGAGATATTTAATATTTACTCAATATGTAAGCAGCGGGGAAAGCACTGGCGCCAGCGACTGTCTCCAGGAACTCCACAATCACGTACATCTCGTAGGACACTGAGAAAGCCTTCAGAGACCCAATGGCACCAACCAGAGTGCAACTCAGCACCAGCGCCCTCTTGCGGCCCCAACTAGAAATAAAAAAGCATTGCTTATTGCCTATCAAAGTTAAGAAACAAAAATTCATAACAACAAACTCGGTAAAATGACCTTCCGTGGACCTCAAGGTCAAACAATCCCGTTTTAAGGATCATTGGTAGTTTTGACTACATGTTACGTTAACTAACCGATCAGATATGTATCCAAGAATGGGAAGAGAGACAAGCATGCCTATGTTGTGGATTGTCCCCACCAGGGTGCGCTTCCATTCCTGGCAGGCGAGATTGAACTGAAAAAAAATTATTAAAAAACATACGTACGTTTAAAGTATATAAAAACAAATTAAGCCAGTAACAAGCCATGGAAAAAATGTTCACATGTATGAAACAAAATGCATAAAACCGAAATGAATATTAATAAATGGAAACAATCTTGGGAATATGGAATTTATGAATAAATGTCACGCAAAAAGAATGGACAAGGATACAACTTTACATGTCCATTATAAAGGCATAATAAAAATTATAGCAACCCAACGCCGAAGAGATAGATAACTACGGTGCCCTTTAACACTAATACAAACGCTTACGAAAAGAAAGGCGCCCACTTATGTCGCCCGTGGCGCCCATTGTTGGCGCCCTGGCTGATCGCCCTACTCTAACGCCGGTATACACGAAAGCAATTACGTTTAACATCTCAGAAGCAGAAAGACATTAATAAAATTACGTATATCAAGAGAAATATACAGATTATTAAGGTAAAACTAAACAGCGTTTGCTGGCATAGGTCCTTGATCGTTAATACTGTTAATTGCTAACAGGTTTCGTCGTAAAAGGATACTAAAAAGTTATGCAAGAGTAAGTACTTAGTCGTTTAATTTCATTAGAAGCAACATAATGTTCAAACCTTTTAATGTTGTAGCCGAATTACCCAATACCAACCCGCTATAGTTATAGTGAGCAATAACCTTTATAAATCTATACTTCTATACTATTATAATAAAGCGTAAACACACACTTCTTTGTGGCCTAAGATGTCAGCAATTACAGCATATTTTGAATATTTCTTTTTCTAATAAAAAGCCCCACACTAACGTCACGCTTTAAGATATATATTTTCACGTCATTAAACTTAGGGGGTATATATTTTAGATAAAAAGCCTAATGTAGGAAAGAGACCATAAGTTGCTGCCAACATCAAGGAAGCAAGGTTGTCATCGTCATGTCATTTTGACATTTGCAATTGATAATTTGACACATGTAAATAATAAAATAGTTTCATGCGGATGCTAATTTTAGCTAATTTGTTAATAAAAATAATACAATTACTATTGAATTGTAGATATATAAGTATTATAATAAATTATTTAAATACGTACAATAGTTAACATTACAAAGTGTGATAAACGTAATAAATATTGACATAATGCAAGTATTGACACATTTTAAGCATTGTTAATGTAAGTATGTAATCTAATACATAATAATAGTGATAAAGTAATAAAGAGGAAAGATTTATGGTTTGTAATGAGTAAACTACAGTACGGCAATTTCAATTTAACACTCAGAGTTATTGGTCGGTGGAGGTAAATATATAATAGAGGTCTCCCTTAGTAATCAATGTCTGAGCATTTAAAAACAGAAGTATTATAAATAACACACTATGTATCTTGCTTAATTTTGAATCTCGATTAAAGCGGACACACCTTTGACTAACCAATCGCACAACTATTATGCGATTATAATTAACGAGCTGTTGCCCGCGACTTCGTCTGCGTGGTATTAGAAAACATACGAATTATATAAATAACAAAAAGCTACGTATCCCTCGGGTACCGGACACCTCGGGGATGAAGCTTATCTCATGTATACTCCAGACTTTGTTTTATATCTGTGCGAAATTTCAATAAGATATATTGAACTGTTGCAGAATGATCGAGTAAACATTAAAAAACTAAATTAATGAATCCCACGGGAACCGTAACTTATCCCGGGATAAAAAGTAGCCTCTGTGTTCTTCCAGACTATACTCTAAACGTGTGCCAAATTTCATGGAGATCCGTTCAGCCGTTTAGGCTACAAACGCTAACAAACATCCATCCATCCATCTAAACTTTCGCATTTATAATATTAGTAAGATAGTAAGAAGTAAGATTAGTAAGATTATTTAACGGCTTACTCACGTCATACTTTTTTTTTATGCGATTGTCGATTGTTTTGCAACTCATTCAAACGATATGTACAACTTAAATCCGTATAAACTCATAGGAATCAAAGCGCTACAAAACAGTTGTGCGATAGTCTATTCAAATGTGTGCACGCGCTCTCACTAAAGGAAAATAAAAGTGTGTTACTTTGAACAATTTGGTGTCACTTTTTGTGTCGAGGCTGTCCGTCAAGCGCAGAGTATCTAATGATGCGTTTCGTCAGAATATCAAATAACACGTGAAAATAATACTCGAAATATATTAGGACTGTTACTATTTAACCATTTTAAAACATGTAAATTATAATGGCAAAATAACTATTGACAGTCTCTCTGCTTGAAACAAAAAGCAATCAGTTCTCTACTAGTTGCAACCATATTAAAAAAAGAACAATTTTATAATAACAAAAGTAAATTCGAGCAGCTGTGAAAACTTTAGTCTTTACAAATGTAATTACTAAGTCATACCTCGGCAACGATAGTATTCTTGCTGGCGTATAGCCATTGGTCACAGGAGCGCAACTCCTCGGAGAAGGCGGCGTCGTTGCAGGGCACTTGGTCGTCAAGCGGTGCGCGGCTGAAGCATCGCTGATGCCTGCCCGCTGGCAACGCACTCGCCAGCCACGCCGGGCTGTAGTCACTACTGTTGAAGGCTTCACACTCCGGCACCACGCATCTGGTAACAATGTTTTCATAGACTGTAATAGTGGACGCAACATCTATACAATAAATAATAGGCGTCAAATTGTAGCAATTTATTAAATTCTGATGTGTGTGCGTGCTGGAGGAGAAAGATAAAAGGTACAATTGTGTTTTTTATATACAGTGGTCGCTTTACTATATTGGTGTTTTTTAAGTAGCCGCTTGTTCATTTGTCTCCTTTTAATATAAGAAAATATTGACATACTGACAGGATGATAGTCGTAGAGTTGCATTGAGTCCCCCGTGGGTCTGACTTTTATGTAATGAGGGGTCATTTTAAATTCTGCTCCTGACCAACGTAAGGTTTCTTTTGTCGTTTTTAATCAAATTATTATAGATTACACACAGACATAATATATTGCAAACAAACATAAACTGTTACGAGTATTAATCTTCATTCTAAAACGATCTTTAGAAAATTTTTGGTACTTTTAATAAACGGAACCATCTTATCATTTGATTTTAGTTGCAACGTATCAGTACAGCAACATTAGGCCTATAATCAGTGTAATAAGCAGTTTATAAAACAGTTCACATAAAGTCGCCATCTTCCGGCGTCAATCAAGGCCACGACGCCATCACAAGCGCAGCGGACGTGGTAGCGGACATAACCATAGAATTCAGAGAATCAGAGTTTTGAATGATTTTGGCGACTATATACAGTCATTTGTAATCTATTTAATAGAACTATTTTGAAAGTCTAAATGTTAATTTAACCGAGATATTTTCACATTATCAGTCAATGTAAAAAGAATAAATGACCTAACTACTCTTAGACACGATAAGGTAATAAAATGTAGTAAAAACTTACATTATTCTAAGAATAAATGAAAACAAAATTAACTCTAATGTAAATTGACAATATTTTAAATTTTTCTTTCCGCTAATCGCTCCGCCTGTACTTTATAGCAACCTTACTACTCAATAATTGCCTGCGCTTCCTGTCGACACAATGACATCGGCTGCCGCAGCCTCAGCCGGGCTCACGGCAAACCATGTTGACTATTTACGAACAATTTAACATATGAATAGCCATTAGACGTAAAGCACAGACTAATGCTTCCACTTGGCGTCTTCTATGTGATCGTGGTACACCAGGAGCCAGTCCATACGTATAACAAATGTTATTTGCTGTACCAAAACCTTTGGTCTTAAGTTTAAAAACATATTTTCAATTATGTTTCATTACATAAAGATAGAGAGGTTTATGCAGGTTTCTACAAGGTATTATGCAGGTCTGTGCAACAGAAACTCGCGAGCAACAACGTAAGTGGAAAACTTCATATAATTCGTTCGGGTTCGCCACATCCATAGTGATTGGATGACAAAAGACGTGATGACGTCATCAGGCATGTCTGGAACGTAATTGGCCGTGCAAATAAATTGCGTTGAATGCATTTTAAAATGGATAATTTTAAGTCACCTAAAAAGTATTTTGATCATGCTTTAGAATAATTTTAAAATTGTACTCAGAGTCAATATAGATTTTTGTATACTAAATCAACGCGAAAAGAGTCTCTCAGTGACTAAAATTCACGCCTACCACTGGCATTTCCTGGAGTAGGAAGAAAAAATGTCCTCTTTCTGTGCGTCTTTCCTCCGTCATTTAAGGGTAGCCAACGGTCGCTTCGCTATTTCTGTTAATCCAGGTTGCCGCTTGCTCGTTTGCCAACTTATAATAAATAAACTAGGCAATTTAAAGATAGAGAATCTATCCCGCTATGTCTTGTATTACCTTAAAAACTCTGTAAACAAGGCAACAATTATGTGATCATATCATAGTTAACTATTACTTGGAAATTATGTATTGTCCGTCTGTGAACATGCAAATGTGTTGACAATGAGTTTCCACTGTTGTAACACATGTATCAAACATGTTGTCGTCCCTCTCATAATCATTGGACAAACAGAGACAGTAGTATTCCATTATGTCAGTGGAATTAGCGTTAACAGTTGTGTAGACATCCGGTTGTTAAATTAAATTTTTTGTTATCTACATGTGAAGGAGCAAAAAATATTTACAACAAGGAAAACCCGTTTTAAATCAAATATTATTCTGACAGTTGAAAATCTTCAATGATTATATTACGGAGATAACATCACGTTAGTTTTTTTAGATGAACAAAGGTGTGTCGATGTAAAAATCCACACTACACACCTTTTAATTTAGTTTAATTAGTTTTGAGACATCTTCATCGCATTCGAAAAGATGAATCAAGATTTTTAATTGACATTTGAATGTTCAGATAAGTTAAAATTATAGCAAATCGATTAAAAATAGCAATTAATACACACACTAGACGAGGAAAACTTGACAACGATGTTAAGGTCGATGTCTTATAAGGTAACAAATTGAATTTAGTAGGTAAAGAATTATTATTAGTTAGTTTTCATTACCTCTGAAGATCTGAGGTCAAAGAAACACATTCTTATTAAATGTTAATAAGTCGTTATAAAAATAAATAACAAAAATGAGGTAAAAGCATCTATTATGCAAAAGGACAGAGTTCAAAGTTCTCGAACAAACGTCTTCAATGATAGGTTATGTTCGACACAAGACATTTATCATTACATTAAGATAATTAAGTTATTCAATGAAGTAAATTAAGTTATAAATACACAAAGAGGTTATAAATTAATAATTATTACTTCCTTCCTTTGTAGAATTTAGTGTTTCAATTATCGTTGTTGTTGAAGCGATAATTTGTACTCCTGTAGCAAATTGTGCGAATTGACAAACTTATCAGTTTCGAAATTTAAAAAAATTAAATGCGCAATCAGATCTTGTCAATCAATTAATTACATATTATAGGGCCTTTTTAATAAATTACCGTAAAAAATTACGAATAGAATTACTTAGGTCTAACATTTTTGGCACCAACAAATTTACTTCAGTTAGTGAAGCAAGTTTGTAAAGAAATGTTACGACATATAAATAAAATACAAATAAATTATATAATAATTGAATTCTGATTTAATTAACTTTATCTTTAGGAAAGTTTATCGCAAAACTCTCTTCTAATGTCAAATGGTTTCTCTTCTAGAAGGTTCGATGCACGGAGATAACACACGCGCCCCTCGATGTCATTATTACATTATTAGACTAGTTTTCGCTCGCGACTTTGTCCGCGCGGGATTAAAAAAAAAAACAAAACAAGTAGCCTATGTGTTCTTCCAGACTATCCTCTATATCTATGCCAAATTTCAAAGAAATCCGTTAAGCCGTTTAGTCTACAAGCTGTAACAAACATCCATCCATCTAAACTTACAATATTAGTAAGATAGTAAAATAATTTATATTAACTAACTAATTCAACATATAAATAGTCTAAATACATTGAATTTTAAATACCAAAAATGGTTTATCGTCAAATAAAAAAAATAATTTTAATATTTTCATTCTTGAATGATTCACGTTTTATTAATATTTATCTGTTGAATTGCCAAAAAAACGGCAATCATAAGACATATTAAAAGTTTATATCTAACTAAACTTTAGTATTTATAGTATTAGTAAGATATGGTTAGATCTTGGCCAGAATATTGCTGCAAGAAGAAAGAAGAATTATTCAACCAGAGCTGGTATGTCATATTTACATTGTGTCACGACCATTATACCAACCATAGCAAAATTTTTGATCCTTTGAAAACCTTATAATCTCCCTTAATTCGTAAAGCTATTGCTTTCTCTGTCTTCTATGAGGAGTTAGATAAAGCTGAGATGATCTAATGAACAAGATCTCTCTCTCTCTCTCTACTCTTTACCAACTATGAAATGTTTAAAGAAATCAAAGCCTATGGAGAAAACTTGATGCCCACTCGAATAAAGTATTCGTACGTCACTCTCCTACATAATAAAATCCACTCAATAAGATTACGTAAGACACATTAAGGTAAAATCAAAATATTATATTAGAATGTAGACCGAAACGAGTATTTTGTTTTTAAATTCATGCCTTGAGATGATTGCGGAATGTAAAAATATGCATATTCTATTGGACGTCAGTTGGTTGGTTGGTGTCGCAAAAACCAACATCGCTCTCAAAAATGGAATCTGTAACTATCTACATTATTCTATACTGTTAAAAGTATAAAAAGAAATCTAAACTGTCTCTATCCTAATACTGAAATAACTCAAAAACTACGGGACCAATTTCAATTCCTTTAAAAAGCTGAGTGAAATAGGACACTTTAAAACTTTATTTGTCTATTCTACGCAGACGAAATCTCGAGTATCAGCTAGTCTGTTACAAATACTTCTAGTAAATTTGTCAGTTTTTTTTTTATAACATAAGGTGGCAAACGAGCAAGCGGCCACCTGAAATCGCCAAAATGGCGAAGCGACCGCAGCCCATAGACATCCTCAATTGTAGATGCGTTGCCTACCTTTATACGACGGAGGAGGAGAAGAGGATATTTCCCCTTCCTATGCATCTCCTCTACTGTCAAATTCACTTCCCCTTTCCAACCTCTCCTTATAAGAAAAGGGTGATAAAGTGAAAAGGACTTAAATTAGGCCTCCGGCACCACACTCATCAGACGAAACACGGAATTGCTTCCATTTGACGCCTGTCTTCTGTGTGGTCGTGGTATTACACCGGGCGTGCCGGCCCAATCATGCTAAGATGTTAAAGCGGGCACTACCACTGTTAAACCACTAAACAGTTCCTTTGATGCTGTAAACAACGGTTTTTTTTTTATATAATAAAAGGGGGGCAAACGAGCGGCGTGAACACCAAGGTGGTCAACGACGCCCATAGACATCCGCAACCAGAGGAACTACAGATGCGTTGCCGGCCTTTGACGAAATGATAGGCTCGATTCTTGGAGGACCCTAAGTCGTATTGATTTGGAAATACCGCCGAGGACAGACCGTTCCACAACACGCCACAATTTTGCAGGATGTGTATTCGTGTCGCATTTCTTAGAGCAGTATATCGCATGCGTAGTAAATGAGGATGTGCGTAACTCTTCGCAATAGTTCCCGTCTCTATAAACTAATTACCGGAGACTGCAACTAGTCCTGACACATAGTTTAATGGTTTCTTAAAAATTCTTTAACGTAGTCTTAATGCAGATTTCTATGTACCGTAAATTGCTATACAAAGTTTGAATTTATGCAAGAATGTAATACAAATTTAAATCCATACATCATACTTATATTATAAATGCGAAAGTTTAGAAGGATGGATGTTTTTTTAGAGTTTGTCTCCTAAACTAGTGAACGGATTTCGATGAAATTTGGTATAGATGTAGAGGATAGTTTGGAAAAACACATAGGCCACTCACTTTTGTTTTTTTCCAACGCGGACGTAGTCGCGCGCAAAAACTATGATACACATAGACGCAGAATGGATAATATCAGTTCATGAAATAAGCCATTTTAATTTAGAAATAAAAAATTTACATCTTGACATATATATTTTCCTCTACCTGTAAGGAACATCAGCGGCAAGAAAGACGTAATTGATAGCATAGTGGGCGGCGGCGAATGCAGGCAGGGCCAGGAGGAAGTAATTGAGAAGATGGAACTTTCGGAACTGGCCTAGCTCGTGCATCAGCCGGTCGGTATCCATGGCAACCGGCGATTTCTCACACATATCACACAACCGGCACTGTTAGCATCACCTTATATAAGGTGTTTTCAACGATTATTGAATACACAAAATAACAAAAACCGTGTTTATGGACAATAAAAATCGGTTTAAAAATATTTTTACAATTAAAATACAAAAACAATGTTTAAAAATTAATCACAATACGAATTATAAAAAATGTAACGTCGGATTTTTGTATTTACGGATTATTTATAAGAAAATAATTAAGTTTTTAATTTAATAAATTGTTTAAACACTTAAATAATGTTCGCAACGTGTATGACGGCGGAATGCGCCCGCACAACTGATCTCAAACACTCGCGACATTTTTCCGATGAGGAAAGAAAGTCTATCTGCCATTTGCATCACTAAACGAACACTAAGGACGTCCCTTACGATAAGTTAAAAATGTACATTAGCCTGCATAAATAAATTAGCGTCTATAGGTGTACATTTAGTCTATTTGAAAACCGATATTTTAAAATGAAATGTATAACAGAAGCACAGTTAATATCTATCTTACTAACATTATAAATGCGAAAGTTTAGATGGATGGATGGATGAATGGATGGATGGATGGATGTTTGTTAGCGTTTGTAGCCTAAACGGCTGAACGGATCTCCATGAGATTTGGCACAGGTTTAGAGCATAGTCTGGAAGAACACATAGGCTACTTTTTATCCCGAGAATAGTTACGGTTCCCGTGGGATTTATTAATTTAGTTTTTTAATGTTCACTCGATCATTCTGCAACGGTTTAACATATCTTATTGAAATTTGGCACAGATATAAACAAAGTCTGGAGTACACATGAGATAAGCTTCATCCCAGAGAAATGTCCGGTTCCCGAGGGATACGTAGCTTTTTGTAATTTAAGTAGTTCGTATGTTTTCTAATACCAAGCGGACGAAGTCGCGGGCAACAGCTCGTATTATAAAGAGGAAAAATTTGGATTTTTGAATTTTTGTGTGTATTAAAAGAACTCAAAAACTACTGGGCTCATTTTATATATACTGTCACCGTTAGAAAGGTAATATCTGTAAATAACATAGGCTACATTTTTTATTATTTTTTTAATTAGTAACAGCTAGTATTTAAAATTATGTAGAACATATGCAATTTTGTTTTCACTATGTACCAGGCTTTGCTCTACATATATATTGTTTTTTTTTTTTAAGTTTATCGCACAACTATTGTGCGATTATTGTTGATTGTTCAACTGTTTAGTTGCACAACTAAAAATCGAGTGTGCGCACCTCCATATAAGCTCATAGGAAACAAAGCGAGACTAAACAGTTATGTGGTAGTTTGGTCAAAATGCACGCTCTAAATGTCTAATGCAAATTGTTAGAGTCCAAGTAACCTTTACAAGAATAACTCTTATTATTACAATGTATTTAATGCTCAAGAAATATCAAATAAAAACCGGAAACGAAGACATAATCAATATTCACACAAAAGGATAACAATTCGACCTTCTGAATGGTTTCGCGTCGACATTGACACCGCTTGTCCAGGGTTTTCCGCGACCTGCGAGAGATGTCGTAAATAAACATTCTACAGGGTCCAGTCTGAATTAATTCTATTTAGATGTAGATACATACTTTAGGCGGTTTTACTTACAACATACTAATATTATAAATGCGAAAGTTTAGATGGATGGATGTCTGTTTGAATTTGTTGCCTTAACGGTTGAATGGATTTCGATGAAATTTGGTGTAGATGTAGAGGATAATATGAAAGATAGGCTAGTCACTTTTATTTTTATTTAATACCACGCGGACGGAGTCGCGGGCGAAAACTAGTTTTATTATAAACAATATCGTATCTGACCATTTCATCTTTGAAAAATTGTCATAATCGTTTCGAGGAAATGCGAGTTGACCATAAAAATAATTTAAAAGTCCCACATAAAACTGTTACTAAACTAAACACCTTTGAAAAAATAATAGCAATATTAGTCATTCGGCATTTTACTGTGTATACATCAAGGCGTTATAATATAAAAATATCTCTGTTCTGTGAATGTACGTAATTCAAAATACACTGAAGGTAGATAAAGTTTTATTGTAACATAAAAATGGAAATGACCCTACTTACACTGGAATGCAATTAAACGTTACAGAATAACGATTAAAATATGATTGCTTTATGCAATGCTACGTGAGGGAATGGTCTAAACAAATAATGAAACCTATTATCTATCTAAATTATAACAAACGCCTTGACCTAAATAGAAATCAACAGAAAATAAATCACCATGACTTTATTTGTCAATTAGCAGAAGTGGGTCTAAGCGATCGTTACTAAATATACTTAACTAGCTATATTAGGGTTTTTATCCAAAATTTGTAGCCCCTAAGTTTAATGGCGTGAAAATATTTAGCCTAAAGCGTGACGTAAGTGTAGGGCTTTTTATTAAAAAATTAATTATTCAAAAATATGCTGTATTTGCTGACATCTTAGGCAACAAAGAAGTATGTGTTTACGCTTTATTATAAAAGTATAGATTGTGGTTAAAATCTTTCTTCAAGGCTCTCTGAAACAAAGATCATGTCTACAAACACTTATCTAACAAAACCTACACGTTTTGTTAGCATTCGTTTCGCGCCCACTTCTATAAATTCGATTAATCAATTACCACACTGCAGTGTGCATCTCAATTATCTGCAATAGACATGCAATTGCTACAATTATCCCGCATCCCTTTCACAGACGTCTAAATGCCAAGAGCATCGCCATTACCACGTCTAACATCTCTTGGTTATGTAACTACTCGTACATTACAAATTGTATTACGAAATAACACAAGCTTACATTAGTGTGGAATAGACAAAGTTGTCGCGTGTTAGCGCGAGCGCAAGTCTTTGACTAAACTAGCACACTACGGTTTTTTTTTTTTATAACATGAGGTGGCTAACGAGCAAGCGGCCATCTGAAACCGCCAAAATGGCGAAGCGACCGCTGCCCATAGACATCCGCAATTGCAGATGCATTGCCTACCCTTATACGATGGAGGAGGAGACGCACATAAAGAGGATATTTCCCCTTCCTATGCTTTTCCTCCACCGTCAAATCCACTTCCTCTTTCCAACCTCTCTTTATAAGAAAAGGGTGGGAAAGAGAAAGGGACTTAAATTAGGCCTCCGGCACCACACTCATCAGACGAAACACGGAATTGCTTCCATTTCACGCCTATCTTCTGTGTGGTCGTGGTATTACACCGGGCGTGCCGGCCCATTCGTGCTAAGATGTTAAAGCGGGCACTACCACGGTTGTGCGATTGTCGATTGTTTCGCAGCCAATTCAACTGTTTAGTTGCACAACTAAACATCTACACCTCCATATAAACTTATATGAATTAAAGCCAGACTAAACAGCTGTGCGATTTTGTCAAAGGTGTGGGCATGCTCTAAGTATTTTAAACACTAACCGTTATAACAGCGCTACACTTTCATAAGTTTAAAGGAGTTTGTGGTACAATGTTGTTCCTATTAATTGATTCGTTGTCCAACAGAAGGGTGACTGGACCAATCATTCAACCTAGTCTACTTCTGAATCCTGCTTCCTCTAACATTTCTAAGTTCAACCACAAATTTGATTCAAATGACTGGAACAAACGTTTTACTACAAAAAGTACTCATATTACATCATATTTGTTATTGTATTCGGTTACACGAATATTTAGGATGAAAACCTTCTTTAAATTACATTTTAAACTGTGCAGTGACAATGGCCAAGTTAACCATTATACCGTGAACATCTCAATTCTTGATATAACCTCTTGTTGACACAAAACTGTATTACTACAGTTTCACATCTCTTGTCATATATTTTATGTAAACGGAAAATAACATATTTTTCTTGTCTATCTTACTAATATTATAAATGCGAAAGTTTAGATGGATGGATGGATGGATGTTTGTTAGAGGTTATAGCCTAAACGGCTAAACGAAACGGTAGAGGATAGTCTGGAATAATACATAGGCTACTATTGTTTTTTTTTTCAATTCCACGCAAACAGAGTCGCAGGCGAAAGCTAGTATACCTTAAATTAAATCACACTCTAATCACACTCTTTGGACGTCAGAGACAAATGCTTATTACGTTTAGGGCTTATTATTATTTTTACAACTGAAACTAACCTGTCGCACAACCGTTTAGTCTTACTTTGATTCCTATGAACATAAGCTCCATATAAATGGAGGTGAGCAGACTACTAGCTTTTTAGTTGTGCATATAACAGTTGAATTGACTGCGAAACAATCGACAATCGCACACAGTGTCCAATAGTTTAGTTAAGACTGTAGACCCGCTCACTTCACACTTCATGTTTCATCCTCATCATCCACTTGCCCTTACGGAGGTTCGGCACAGTATGTGCTGCTCTTCCATACATCTCTATCAGCCGTCATATCTGAATACACTCCTTTCTTAAGCATATCCTCTTTCACACAATCCATCCATACTTTCTTCGGTCTTCCTCTTCCTTTGTAGCTACCACATTCAATCTTAACACTTTTTGGTTTATGTCCCCATCATTTCGTCGCATAACATGTTCATACCACGCTAACCTTTTGCTTCTCAATTTCTCAAGATAATTACACTTCATGTTTGTGCTCTAGTATTAATAATTATTGAATTATTTAATAGATTCTGTTATTTAGCCTTTCTCCAGATACACTGAGGTCGTTTTGAACAATTGAAATGCCGACATAGAATTTGATAAAAACCCATTACTCTCAATCTTCACCTTGACCTGGTATTGACGGAGGTGCGGTCCCAAAGTTATACAGAGGTCATAAAACAAACATCGATAGTGCAAAAAATAATTATCTAAACAAATGACATCTATAACCAATAGAACTATACGTAATAATGATAATAAAATAATTTAAGTGCCCCAGAATAGTAACCATTTAGTCTCTCTTACTGATTATCATACTAAAGCTGTACTAAGGGGACTGAATGACTGGAACAGACGTACTAACGGGCAGAGATAATTGTAAGTAAAATAAAAACCTTTCAAAGATCTGAACCGGCGTATTGCAAAACTTTAAAATCAATTAAGTGAAAGTTTGAACAGGAAAACTGCATAGGTTGAACACACTATCGAACTCTTGTCAGTTAAACTATGTTAAGTTTTTAAATTAAACAATCAAGCCGTAATTACGTTGGTAGACTAGATATTTTGACTTTTATCTATATCTATACTACTAGCTGTTCCCGTGCGGCTTGATCCGCATGACATTGTGCAAATTTTATTTTATTGTAAACATTTATTTGTATCAAACATTTGTTGTAAACAACAAAATAAAATTTTCTTAATTTTTTGCGGATGAAGTCGCATGGGAACAGCTAGTTATGCTCTAAAAACACATTAATTGACATCTATATATACATATAATAAAATTGGAATCTGTTTGTAATATTAAAAGAAAAATTCCAGATTTCGGGAAGATTATGTATTTCTGTCTGTCTGTCCGCAAACAGCGTTTGTTCCAGACAATCTCCGAAACGGCTGGGCCGATTTTGACCAGACTTTCACTGAAGGTTAGCTGACATAGACGTGCATATTATAGGAAACTTTTTTTTTTAATTCCGCGCTGTTAAAATGGCGTAACGGGTAGTCCAAATTTGTGCGAACGAAGTTTACGGGCGACAGCAAGTTTCGAAATATATTAGACGTGATCTTTGATATTTTCATAAGCTTTTCAACGTGTCTAAAATTTAGGTTATTTCCTTAGTACACTTGATTAAATGTCCTGTTTCCTACAACTGGTCAACTGATAGTCTAAGTGCTCGTGTGTTTCGAAACACATTCCAGGCAATCGTATGAATTACGTTGCAACGAATTTAGAACGACCAAAGAAAAGAACTAAATAAAACTTGCGTACGTTAGTTTTACTTAATGCATTTTTACCTGAACCATTTCGTTATAAAAATAAAAGGAATATGTTATGCAAAGCTATTTATTAAAGATACATGTTGCTCGCGACTTCAACCGCGTGAAATTAAATAAAATAAAAATGTTTTTTTGAAATCGGCCCAGTAGTTTTTCTTTTATTTGAATACGTTCATAAATAAAAATCTTTTCTTTTTATAATAATATTTAAGTTCTAGGATATTAAAAAAAATCTAATCAGGTTTCCATTGGATTTAACAAGCGTCGTTTAGGTTTGAGAGTTGGGCAGATAATATTGCTAAAGTGAATTTGAATATTGAAGTGTTATTTAATTCCTATTCTCGCCATAAACATTCTAAACTTCTAGACGAAGATTATTAGACAGGCAACGCATTTGCGGTTTCTACTTTTACAAATCATGGTTTAATATCGCCTCGGTATTTCAGTTTGGAAATGAATCATTTAAGCTCACCTGTAAGGAACGTCTGCCGCTAAGAAGATATATGTGGTATGCAGCAGTCCCACCTGGAAGGCGGCGAGTGCGACCATCACATATACCTGCACGTGGAATCGTCCAGCCTGGCCCAGTTGCCGCAGAATAGAGTCCGGTTCCACTGGCCCTACATCCTTACCTTTATCACTAGACATGACTTCTATTACAAACTTTATTTTAACACGTGTATACTTTGAAAAATATATTTATTTTTATATGTTTTCGCGGCTATCTAGCTACGGCCTATGACAGTTGCCCGTGCGCCAGCTAGTGACAGACTGCGCGCGCCTCCCTCAGGGCAACCCACAGCTTTAGAAAGCCTTTGGGCGTCACCTCTAACACTCAGCTATAAACGTCACGTCAAGTACGCCGAATTCCTTTAATCAGTTTACCCAATAGGTAAAGCGAAATTGTAGACCCCTTTTTAAAGATATAGCGCAAACGTATTAACTTGAAAATTAATGCGGACACCCTTAATGTGGAGAAATTCAAAGTTATTTTCAATTAAAAATATATTTATATATTTACAGTCCAATTTGGAGCAAGGGATCGCCGATTGGTCTAAGTTCTAATAGTTACTTTGGTTTACTTTTGAATTTTTTTTTTTATTATTTTTTAAGCTAGCGCTTGGCCACGATCTAACCTGAAGGAGGTGACGATGCAGTCGAAAGATGGTTCGAGCTAGCTTAATAGGTAGCTGTTCACTCTCCTTTTGAAGGCCCCCACGTCATATTTGGACGGGAAAACTGATGCCGGCAACATATTCCAATCCAATTGGCCTACTGCGCATTGTTGGGTTCTACTAGCGCCAAGGGTGTGGCTTCTATGACGCCTTCTTTACCATGACAGAGATGAGAGTATTCCGTCCGCTACCCAAGGGCGGATCCAGCTTTGTCGTCCATGGTGGGTCACAGTCGTGGTCAAGTCAAGAGCTTGACAAAATATGTAAATATATTTTGTGTAATCTCTGACCTACCTCTACCTTCAGGGTATGATGGAGGTAGAATCTATTATAACAAATTGTCGCAGAACCACTACAACATGCCGAGCACTAATTAAAAATATTAATTAAATAGCCATGTAAGGACGTATTACTTCCGAGTTAAATTATGTTTTTATCACAAGGTAGAGATAAAAGTTTTCTTCAGTAACCGTAACCCAGTTTCATTGTTCTCATGAAATTCAGAGATAAAAAATTATTTTTTTTGTTTTGTATACAGTGGAATGCAGTTGAAATTGTAAATTATAACAAACTTTTCTAACCTAACCGTTTAACAGTGGTAGAGCCCGCTTAAACATCTTAGCACCAACGGGCCGGCTCGCACGGCAATACCACGACCACACAGAAAACAGGCGTGAAGTGGAAGTAATTCCGCGTTTCGACTGATGAGTGTGGTGCCGGAGGCCTAATGTTCCTAATGGCCCTTTCCCTGTCCACCCTTTTCTTAAGAGTAAAGGATAGAAAGGAAAAGTGGATTTGACGGTGGAGGAGACGCATAGGAAGGGGAAATCAATTAAGGGTAGGCAACGCATCTGCAATTGCGGAGGTTTATTGGCAGTGATCGCTTTCCATTTCGGTGAATTCAGGTGGCAGCTTGCTCGTTAGCCAACTTATATTATAAAAAAAAACCTTTATGAAGGTGTAATTATAATTTTACTAATATTATAACGTCGAAAGTTTGGATAAATGGATATTCGTCAGAGTTTGTTAAAACTGATGAATGGATTGATGAATGAATAAATGTAGAGAATATTCTGGAAGAACACATAGGCTCTTTAAAGTTTTTAAATTCCGCACAGCCGAATCGCGATAGCTAGTCAGATATATTTTTATTATCACTTTTGACAATAACTTTTGAAAATAAATTACATTGTTTGCTAGTTTATAGGTGAATAGTTTCTCGATTACATTCGACTATAAGAGCGCGCGTACAACTTTGACTAAACTATCGCTCGCTTGGTCTCGCTTTGATTCCTATAATCTTACATGTGGGTGCGCACACTGATCGATTTGTTGTGCAACTAAACAGTGGAATTGGCTGCGAAACAATTGACAATCGCACAACCGTAGTGTGCAAGTTTAGTGAAAGGTGTGCGTACGCGCTTAAGGTAAGGCTACCCCAGGGAATCCGAAAAACAGGCATTTTTCCGTGTAAATTCTATCGAGCTGGTACAGTGTACAATTTTGAAAAAAATAATGTGCGTAGATAGATATTTAAACTGTAATATTACCCGAATACATTTTTAATTATCGGTTCCATTTGTAAGAAAAAAATTTATAAAAATTAAAACTCACTTGTTGTTACTATATTATTATTTTATATTACTACTGTGTAACATATGTTCTTATATTTTGTATCTTTAAGTAGATGTCTTTCACTTTTTTATTTATTTTTTAAAACTTAGATTTAACACAATTTATAGAGCTATACTCTTTACACATATAAAAGAATTTAACATCTCTTTGAGATTACCTTAATAAGGTATATTGTAGATAAGCTATTTTGCTCTCTTTTAATATATTTTTTTACATAAAAAGGCACAAACCATTCTTACATAAATTAGCACCGAGAAAATCTAATAATATACAATGTCTTACAAATTTTCGTGTTATTTCATATTTATACAAATTATTGTACTATTGTGTTACATTTAGATTTCAAAATAAAACGTTACTGTATTGTAAATACAATTCAAGAAAACTTAACTAAACTAGACTAAACTAAATCTTATTTGTACTTAACAATGTTATAACTTATCGTTATACTAAGTTATTAGGAAATACAATTCCTTCGAAGATTGGTTATTTTTACTTAACTAAGAGCCGCTTAGTGACAATCTAGTAAGATTTTTAATTATTAAAATATTTGAGTGCAGCTGTTTACGAGTTGTAACCTAACCTAATATAATGGTAAAGGGGTGTTGAGATCAGGGGGAGGGGGGGTTACGCGAGGGAGTCCTGTTGTTGTTGAAGGTCGCGGAAGCGATCCGGCAGTCTGCGGCCGAGCGTCTCCGGCACCAGTCGTGTTAGCGCCGCGCTCGCCAGCGGTAGCACGCCCAGTAGTGTCGGCGGCACCCACGTACCGTACACAGCCTGATAAATATATCAGCTGTTTATGCGCAGTTCATACTTGGCCAGTACAGTTGGACAGTTGCGGCCAGTTACAGATTGTATGAACACTGGTACCAGTTAGCGTTCATAATGCAGCAGTTGTAGCACTCAATGACTGAACTGATAAGCAACTGGCTCAGTGTAAATACTAAATGGCACCAGTGAGTTCATACAATTTATGACTGGCCGAAATTGTCCAACTGTACTGGCCAAGTGTGCACCGCGCATTAGTGATGTAGATCACAATTATAGTTTGTCTAAATAAGGTAGATTAGTTTGACAATTCATTTTTTTTAATTCCGCGCGGATGGAGCCGCGGGCGAAAGCTAGTAAGAAATAAAGTTTTTGTTAATATAATCAGAATAATAGTGTAGGCTCACCAGCAGCGGCGTGAGGGGGGCGAGTATGGCGCCGAGGCGGCCGCAGGTGGAGCAAGCGGCCAGCAGGCGCTGGCGCGCGCGCGTCGGGAACAGCTCCGCCGTGTACACGTACAGCGCGTTCAGCGCCATCGTCGCGCCCACCTTGCCCGCCAGGAACAGCGCCGTGCCGTACACACCCTCCGCTGGACAAACATAACACAATATTATAAGCACCAACAATAATAATAATAGACGTCGCTAAGGAAGGCGAACAGCAGCCCAGCTCCCTAGAGAGATATATATCAAAAGTCATCAAAACTGCTTTGGATAAGACCGCATTAATGTTAGCTGCTACGCTAGGGCTTGTCTAGGTCGTCAAATTACTCTTGTCATATAAGCATTCAAAATCATTACAGTGCTGTAGACATAGAACGGATTTCGATTGAATTTGGCACAGATGTAGAAGATAGTCTGGATGAACACATAGACCACTCACTTTTGTTTTTTAATTCCACATGAATGGAGTCGCGCACGAAAGCTAGTCATTATTTAAAAGTATATAATCCTTTCATCTCTTTGTTTATCCTACTACTCGTCACTGTCTTTAGTCGGTCTATTAGCAGTATCGCAAGTCGTAGAGCTATGTATGTACTGACAGTCGGGCAGGAGCGGTATGGCGACGAGCGCGAGCGCGGTGAGCAGCAGCGCGGCGGTGAGCAGCGGGCGGCGGCCGGCGCGGTCCAGCAGCAGCGTGTTGAGCAGCAGCGCGGGCAGCTCCGCCGCCGCCAGCAGCGCGTAGTTGCCGTGCGGGCTGCCCGCCAGCGCGTGCGCGCGCACCGCCAGCCCGTAGAACACGAACACCGCAGACGCCCACCACACAAAGCACGTCAGCAGCCGGCGACGCAGCTCGCCATATCTACACAAATACTCCATGGATATCAAAACATATCAAAATCGAGTCCTTTGAACACCTCAGCAGTAGGTAACCGGTAGATGTAGACCTAGAAAAAGATGGATGAATCGCGTGAAAGGTGACTTGATCAAAAGGGTGTGATGAATGAGATGACGTATGATAAAGTTATGTGAAGGACAAAAACCTGTTGTGCCGACCCTACGGGAGTAGGATAAGGAGGAGTAGGTAGTTATGATAAATTGCGGACGTCTACGGGCTATACGCTTCGCCATTTCCGCAAATTCAGATGACTGATTGCCCGTTTTCCGATAAAAAATGTCTCGAATTATTATGATCTCCTACAATACTCCAAAATACTTAATAGACACCGGTGTACTCACTTCATAAAAGCTCTAAATAAGCTCTCTTCTTCATCATCTTCGACTTCAGTCTTATCCACCACTGGTTCGGACTGCGTAGCGAGCATTTTGTCAATAGCGTCTTCGGGCACCGCCACCCTGTTCCACCTCGCGGCCTGCTTGATGACCCTGGCCGCTTGAGGTAGCTTGTTGTTGGCGACCAACCATCGCACGCTCTCCGGCAGCAACCAAGGGTACAGGAGAAGAAGGAAGGACGGAGGATACGCCACGCGCGCCCACAGCCGCCAGTAGCCGGTCAAGTAGTCGAGTAGAGCCAAGGTCGCCGCGCCAGCAGATAGTGGTATTCCAAGGAGAAGACTCGCCAGGATCCGCTGTTCTACTCCCAGCCACTCGATCACTGTAAAGAATACATTGAAACGAATTGAAAATACAGATTTATAAACAGATTGGTAGGATTTACTCTGCTATACCTTAGGCATAGACCTTCAGCGCTTTACTTGTTGGAAGAAGCTGTTGAACTCACTGAGTACGAAGGCTGCGGGATAGACGCTCGCGCCCAGCACCGTCTCCAGGAACTCGGCCAGGATGTATGCAGTGTACGAGCCGGCGAAAGATTTGCAGAGACCGAGTAGACCAGCGCCTGTTCCGCTAACTACTAACGCTGCCCGTCGGCCCCATCTACAGGAAAAGGAAGAAAATTAATAAGAAAACGAAATAAAATCCGAAAACGATTTCCCAAACTTACTTAAACAGTGGAATGGATAACTTTGTTTTCGTATATTTAGGCAGCAAAGACTTACTTGTCGGAGATGTAGCCCATGATAGGCAGCGAGACCAGCATGCCCACGTTGTGCACTGTTCCCACCAGCGCGCGCTTGCCCTCCTGGCATGCCAAGTTAAACTGGAATGATAAAAAAGTTCATCAACTCCAATTGCCAATAGAGAAGACCGACCTCTAGCACTTATCATTACTGGTAGTCACCAACGCACCTCAGCAACGATACTCCTGTGCTCCAGATACACGAAGCTATCACACACTACGCTGGAAGTGTTGTCGAAGGAGTCCTGCTCGCAGGCATTGTCGACCGCAGTATGGCGGGAGCAAGCGTCGTCGGCCGGCAGCGCAAAGTTCGCCCAACCCGGAGACCAGCTGCTTGGAGAGACAGCCTCTAACGTTCCGTTGTCTTCGCATTCTGGTATGTGGCATCTGAAAACAACGTCATAAATATTAGTATGTTTATATGCTTTTTGGCATACATGTCGTTGTGTAGTGGAATCTTAAGCTTTAAACTTTCCTGCGGATGAAGCTAATAACGCCTTACGATAATGTGTCTGCAAGCAGTAAAAAGTGCGAGAATTGCAATTACCAAATTATTAGGAACAACAAATGCCTTCAAATGTATGTATTTATTACAAACAAATTGTATAGCACGTAAATGTAACAAAAAGCATAATGTAATAAAAATAAAAAACCGAACAGTATAACTAAAAACTAGATACGTATTAGGAAACATTCTTAGTCAACTGTTTCGTAGAAGTTAGTTCAATGGACTACTTATGTGTTTGAAAAAAGAAATTACTTAGGTAGCCAAAAAAAAAAGATTTTACGAATTCCATCATCTAATAATAATCTAAGTATCATCGATATTTACTACTTATCAATTGGTAAATTATGCTTAATTGTAACATCAGTTAAACCATTTAAAGTCAATAAGAGTGTATCTTAAACGGCGGATGAAGACAATTTCCCAGACGCTCCGCCAATTCGCAACAACAACCGTATGCAAATAATTTCCTGATGCAGTTTTTTTCTTCATCTGTCCGACGACTGGACCACCAGCCATTCTAGCAAAATTACTACTGGCTAAAAACTAAATACAAACACTTCAACCATTCGGTCACGGGGTCGACATTCAGTTTATTCGACTATACCCCTCTGCGTCATATTGCGTTCTCAGTTTACTGAGCGGTAACTTTCCAGTCCCGTGTGCATCACGTGACATGTACAGACGTCGCGTACTTTCTCTCAACCTATTGCTGTTACTGTAAAAAAATAAATTTTGTATCTGCGTTGGTGGACACACATCACGCTTAATAAAACCGGTTTGTTTTTGAATAAATGACAGACATTTTACTTTTTTTAATAGAAACTTGTAGGATTCATAAAAGTTACAAAACTGTTGAAAAACACAGTCAATTTACTATTGTGCTAAGCAAATCTAGTTTCGATTACTAACAATTAAATAAAAAAAAGAATTGCAATCCAATTTTACTAAAAAAAAGTTTACACGTAAAAACCTTTGACATTGACATTGTAACTGGAAAAAGGCGGCAACAAGTAAAAAATATTAGCCTATCTATCACATTGCATGTAGTTTTTTGTAGAAAGCTCTATGGTTTTTACAAGCGAGAACGCAAAGGACAGTTTGTCGAGGTTCAAGGTCAAGAGATTGTCCCGGAAAAATATTGGAGAAGAGATGGCAAAAAACAAAAATAAAGAAACATTGCACGCGGCGAAGCGCCGGCGATGCGTGACTCATTGAAGTGAATACAACATTGTCCGGGCAACTTAATATAATGAATTAAAAATCGAAGAATCATTTAATACATAAATATGTCTTTTTAAAAGATCTTTATCTTTATGAATCATTTTAGTTTATTACGCTTGAGATTTCCTTTCATTTGTGCATAATAAGACTGGTTAAAATACCACCTTTCGCTGGTAAATAACAGCAACAGACATGAAATAAAATTAAAAAGAGCTAAAACCCTATATTTGTAAATCAAAACAGGTTTTTATTAACTACACAATCATAGTTCCATCAAAGTTTTAATTTCTAAGTCCTTATTTTACTATTTATGGTACATATATGTATTCAATATTCATTTATGTACAAAGATAAAGTACCAGCATCCAATTTGCCTGTTTAGGAATCGGTGTCAGGGCATTTATTAATTAACGTACGGTTTAAACCGCAGTAAATAACATTAAACCCATTTAGATTCATAATATGTACATATTTTTTAATCTCGTTTTTGTAACCAGCACATTGACTGCGAGAGTAGAGCGTTGATTACACTACTTCATTAATTCCTTTAATCTATTAGAGCACACCATTGACTAAACTATCGCATAACTGTTGTACGATTGTCGATTGTTTCGCAGCCTTCAACTGTTTAGTTCAATAACAAAAATCAAGTAGTTGCAAACATAAAAGCGAGACTAAGCTATTATGCGATAGTTTAGTTTTCAGGTGTACGCACGCTCTCAAACGTCTCGAAAATTCGCTTGATCTTTTTGCTTACCTTTCTTTATGTTCTAGAATCTATCTCGGACTTGAATATTGTCGTCTGAGATAAATAGTGCAATATCTTAACCCTTGACCGCGCGTGTAAGTTAACGGATGCTCGTAGATAAGCGTGCGGCTAGCGCTGGCTTGAACTGCTGCGTGGATTAACACGCGTCACGCGACATAGCATCTATTAACTACTGCTAAAACTAACCCTTATCAAACACTTATTGCAGAATTGTTCTTATCAAAGAAGCGTTTTTTTATAATATAAGGTGGCAAACGAGCAAGCGACCACCTTAATCCACCGAAATGGAAAGCGACCGCTGCCTAAACATCCGCAATTTCAGATGCGTTGCCTACCCTTAATTGACGGAGGAGGAGACGCACATAAAGAGGACATTTCCCCTTCCTATGCGTCCCCTCCACCGTCAAATCCACTTTTCCTTTCCATCCTTTTCTCTTAAGAAAAGGGTGGAAAAGGAAAGGGAGTAAATAAAGGCCTCCGGCACCATACTCATCAGAAGAAATGCGGAATTGCTTCCACTTCACGCCTGTTTTCTGTGTGGTCGTGGTATTACACCGGGCGAGCCGGCCCATACGTGCGAAGATATTAAAGCGGGCTCTACCACTGTTAGAAGCATGGATTAAAGTCTAGGAGTTGGAAAACATTTGAGTATTACAGGCCGAGTCTAGTTCCAGAAATTCCTTTTTTTTAATTAGGAAAAGTAAAAATGGAATGGATTCCCTTTTTACTTTTCCAGGAAAGGAAAATGAAATGTCTTTTTTCTGTACTTGAATGACGTATCGTTCATATTATGATGTTACTAGTTTTCGCCCGCGACTCCGTCCGCGTAGAATTTAAAAACAGAACTGAGTGCCTATGTGTTCTTCCAGGCTGTCCTCTAGGTCTATGCCAAGTTTTGTCGAGATCCGTTCAGCCATTTGGGCTACAAACTCCAACAAACATCCATCCATCTAAACTTTCTCATTTATAATATTAGTAAGATAATTCAGTAGCACAGTATACAGTTAGTTATAACTTCGTTTTATATACATTTGTATAGGATACTACCAACTTGTGTCGTGACTAACAAATGAGTTTAGTAAATTCTTGTTCGGTCCAAGTTGGCAAGCTCGATAAAAACTATGGGATAATTCCATTTCAAGTGAGCGACTGGCCACTCCTCCAGCGAAACCGCTTGCGTTAAATTTAGCACAAACCAGTTACCGGCGCCTCTCACGTGACTGGCCACCTGGTTTACCTACGGACCTCTTCGTAACAAATGTTAACAATAAAAAGAAAATAAAAAAATTATATTACGTTTCAATCCAAACTAAAAATATACTATTGACTTCTATCTGGTGATTTCCAAAACATTTTTAGTAATATTTTTTTTAAACATCCAACTTAAGCCACATGTTTTTTTATCATTTAGCCTCATGATCTTCACAAAATATCAAAATATCGTCAGCCGCTGTGCATGTATTACGTTATTGTTTTCTTTCGGCGTTTATTTAAAACTAGCTTTGCGACTACGTCCGTGGAATTAAGAAAAACAAAAGTAAGTAGATTATGTATTCTTTCAGATTATTATCTAAATCTATGCCAAATTTTATCGAGATCCGTTAAGCATTTTAGGCTACAAACTGTGACGAAAATCCATCCATTTAGACTTTCGCATTTTATATTTGTAAGATGGAAAACTACTACGAAAACCATTTTGATGGTAACCCTACTCCATACCAAGTGTGATCATCGGCTGGCAACGTAATTAACAAAGAGACGTTAACATTTAACACTCGTGTTTATTCTTCGGTCAATTAAGGACATCTGTTTGATGAAAATAATCAAGCATTCAAGTTGATAAACTTTGACGTACTTAAAGAATTATAGATCAAGACAAGTTCATCTCAAATACACTATGAAAGAGTAGTGTTAAAATGTTAAATAGGTCTTTTTGATGGAATACTAAAAGACACGACCCATTGTTGACAAGGGTAAACATAGTCTTACAAGCAAACTAATTTGAAATGTCATTTACTAATGGAAAAAGCGGTCCTTGTGTTTATTTTTTGCTCTTTTAAATTCATGAAGTTTCCACAGTTATAAAAGAATTATTTTCACAATAAAATATTAAATGAATCGACCCCAATTTACGCAAGAGTAGAAATCTGATAAGTCAAATTAAACGACTATGTTTTGTTGTTAGAGATTTTTAGGTAAAGTTTGATTTGAATGACTTTTTTTTCTAAAGACTGCTATAGACGTCTAGTTCTGACAAGCGGACTTTTCAATTGAAAGTGAACGTGTGTAACGGACTGTGTATAAATTCCTCTAATGGCCTTATATTTATTATTCTTAATTTTAAAGTAGGAATAAATTTGGATTCACCCGTTTATAGAAAAAGAAGCATTTGTAAACATAAATACTTCGTTTTTTAGTCAATATCGTCTCTTATTATTTGCCTATTTTTTTTTTTTTATCTTTTTAACTGTGCATGGGAGAAAGGTCTTTATGATAACCCTGTTTAGTCTGTATTACTGGGTCAGTGATTTTTGACATTACGTAAACCTCTATCGGCTGCAGTTCACATTATCTGTCGACCGCATAAATGTTTTGACTTTCGGCATTTATTACGGTTACTGACTTTTTATTAATTACAATAACATTAGATAAGAATTATCATTAAAATAGGAGGATTCTTGTAATTTTTATTGCAACATAATCTGTTTATTCTCTTGTAATTTGTAATCTTGAAGTAATGAAGCTTTTGCTTACGACTCTATCCGCTCGAAATTTAAAAAAAATAAGTTCTTCCAGACTATATTTTACGTTTGGGCCTTTTAGCAGATACGTTAAACCCTTTTAGAAATACGTAATAAGCATCCATCCATACAAACTTTCGCATTTATTATTAGAACAATTACTGATACGCGATAAAGCACAATTTTATTCAATATGTCTTATTTACTATGGAAAAGAACTTTATGGGATATTAATTAACATAATGAAATAATAACATTGTTAACTCGACACGTGTGTAAGAGAATTTAACAAACAAGACTGATTCACACCGGACGTAAACACACAATATTGCAGTTTAATTAAATAATAATTTTAAATAACGATATCTGACTTAATTTCGCTGTATTAAAAACAAAACCTATTCAAAAATAAAGCTACAATAAAATTGGATCATACTAATTTAAAAATAAATTGAAAAAAATCTTTAATATTACCAATATGAACATCAAAAACTATCTCTAATAATTTCTACGGCACTCTGAATAAGAGTTGAAACAATTCTAAAAATAATCAAAACAGCGATTTATAAATTCGACACACGCGATAATATTTTTTACAATTCAGACATAAAAATAATTTTCACATTTGGCGCCCACGCCACGTGCGCGCCTCGCGGCGTCCGTCACGTGACCTACAGATAATGCAAACGGCGCGTAAACAAACACCGTATGTTTATTTTTTTTCTAACTCACATAGATTTTTTTAATAAAGAATGCATGACCAAGGTAAGTACACGGACAGTACAGCGTTCAATTTTAGCAAATAATAATATTGGAAATTATCAAGAAACTTGCAACGATGCCTTTTACAATGCATTAGAATATGTTTATTGTGAATTACAAAAATAACTAAATATGTATGGATTATTAAAAAAAATTAAATCGTTGATATTTATAAAGTTGTGTGGAATCTTTTTGAATCAAGCTAATCACTCTGACCTACATTAATAGCAAACAAAAAGGTTAGCTAAGGCCATCAAACTCTACGGTAAATATTCGACACAAAACACACGTGTTTAATGACTGATTAGGCCTTGCTGAAGTGCTAACATGCAAATATTATTAGCACTTCTACATAAAATGGTGTTACTACTTTAGTGTTACCACTTAACTCATCATTAAAGTAGATCAGTACATATTTGGCATCTAACGATAAGTTCTGAGCTAGCTAAGTAAAGATCATACACTCGTAGTTACATACATCAGTATAGAGTACATAACTGTTCTTGTTTAACGCGCCATGACAGTTTCTTCGGTTATGCAAACCTCTTAATTTTAATTTTCAATTAAAAGACATTGGTCCTTTTAAATTGAAAAGAAAATTATTCGCCTTTTATATTTCAAACCAAAATGCTAGACACCAATCAAAAATTTAAAATTGATTAAAGCTACATTTAAAAATAATGCCAATGTCTGATGAGAAATCGCTGGTTAAAAATAGCATAGTCTGTGATTCTTACTTTTTTTTTCTCATGGAATAAAGCTTTCAGCCACGTTATGGCGCCGTGCTAGATATCGGTCAGGATTCTTGAACTTAAATTATGTGAGTCATTGTACTGTTTTAGAAACGAACGCTAGGAAATCGCGAACGCGTGTTCTTTTTATTTTGGTCGCGTGAAAAATATCAGGCACAGATAAACGCAAAACCGGCGCGGCGCTCCCAATTAATTTGGCGCCAAAACCATACTTCCTTGTCATGGAGACTATTCAATTTACCATCTATCCATTCAGTCCATATACGTATTACATTTTTTTACTCAGCATTTTTTTAAATCACTTAAACTCAGGCGATAAGAATAAAAATAAAATATTATAGTGACTATTCTTAGGTTATAAAATTTGTTTTTTTAATTTTGCAACGGTACAAGCGTCGCAAATGGTTTAGCATTTACATAATAAAAGTTACTATCATGAGAATAATAAAGTTATTTTATTACACACTTAATAACACGTTGTGTTGGACGTGTTTACAATAAAAGGTTATTTTGTGGTCATACTATTGACTAGCTGTTCCAGTGCGTGATCTGCATATTAAAAAAAACAATTAATTTCTTATTAACATTCCGTAATACTTTTATTTGCAAATGACAATATTCAAATGCTCAAATGACTTCGAACGCATTTACCATTGGTTAACAATTACCGTTACCATGGAAATCTTACTTTTTGGCTGCTAAGGTTGTAGTTTTTGTCCCTTTCTCGCATGACCATTTCTACCAATTTATTCACCCGTAAATTAAACGCGCGAAAATATATGGCCAATAGTTGTCGTAAGTTTAGGCGTATTTATTATAAAAATAATTATAAAACAATATACTGTAATTGCTGGTTTACTCATTATTGGTTTTTTTTTTTATATTAATATTCTTTTGTTAGACATATTTATTGACAACGGATATTATAGGCTGAGTGACCAGTGATTTGATATTCTGTTGAGAACTTAGAAGTTTCCGGATGAGTACTGGCTACTTATATTAGAAAAAAATATTTAAAACAACAATAAGTAATCTATTTTATAACGATGTTATTTTTCAAATATTGTAGACTCAAAGAAAGTAGTTTAATGCACTCATTTTAAATTATAACCGATTCAATAATATACGATATGCAGTATCTGGGCCCGATTTGATCCTGAAATGACCTTGACAACGAACCCGAGTTTACATTTTCAAATTTATTCGATTCTGCTCGAGTTCGATTCGTGCGATGTTTTTATTAAAAAATATTGCGTCTCTTTTTATAATTGGTTCCAACGCTTTTATATAACTTGTACACGATATACTTTTTTTTATTGTACAAGTGTGAGAAGGATAGCAATGTTTTTTCAAGTATGTTGACAGTGGAAATACACAGTTAATACTTTAATTGTAGATAACTTTTTAATTACTTTCGTATTTTTTTTCGTGTGTTGCAGTAGAATTGTTTGCGGGAATTTATCATAACGCCTGTGTATTTAAAATTAAAATTGATGAAGTATAGTCAATTTCTGACCAGTTAAAATAATGTAATTGGTAATTTACCAATAGAGGTTGAAGCATAGTTAAAAAAAAAACTTCAGCATATGACTTTGAAGCCGAAAAATCAATAGATAAAAACTGTATGAGACATTTACTTCGGTGAGTTGTTTATTTACATTATAAACGTCAGTACAAAAAATATCTGAATGCAAGTACAAAAAACTTGCTTAAATGCAAACTTGTTTACATGTTACCGGTTTGTTCAGGAAATATTTACCTATAGGGTGTACTGGCAGCTAAAAAGACGTAATTAGTCCCGTAGAGTCCTGTGAGCAGCACCGGGAGCGCCAGCAGCGTCGCCAGCCTCACCTGCCAGCGCCCGAACCCGCCAACACACTCGCCTTCCATATCACAACACTGACAACACAGATCTAATCCCAATACCCCTCAAAACCTAACCCAGTTAACTCTATGGTTCACGTAAGTTACGTGTTTCTGAAAGTTGTCTATGGTTCGCGAACGTCCCGCCGGCGTGGACGTCCGTGCGGGAATGGACAACCGCAAGAGCCGCGCACCACGATTATATGAAAGGAGATAGGCAACCGCTTACTCGATAGTTGAACCGATCACCGATAAACAGCAATTTACCTTTTAACTCAACGCATTACGGGTGATAATGCGCTGCGGGTGTACCGCCACGTGCTCCCGGTTAGTACAGTCGCGTACTACACACTTTAAAAATATAATGAGGTTTATTATTAGTTGGCCACATTCTGTATGCCACAGCTGGCCACCGGCTGACAGGGGTCGTTGACATTTGCAATGGCCACTGCTAGTCATACGCACTGTGAATCTGCACCGCATGCGTGCACCATGAGATCACGATCCTAATAAACGCTTGCAACACTTGGAAGCGATCGCCAGTTCTAAAAAGAGTAGCTGAACGCCTGCTGAATTAGAAATGCAAAGTTGCAACATTAAGTTACAATGTATTTTTAAGATATAAGTTGGATAACTGACGGTAATCAAGGTGTACTGGCGACTCCTGTTCAAAAACATACTGATTATCATACTTCATACTAATATTATAAATGCGAAAGTTTAGATGGATGGATTTTTGTTAGAGTTTGTAGCCTAAACGGCTTGACAAATCCCGATTAAATTTGGTAAAGACGTAGTGGATAGTCTGGAAGAACACATAGGCCACACATTTTTTGTAAAATGAAATTGTAAATTTGTAAAATAATTTTTGAAAATATGATTATGTTTGTTGAAGTGTGTCCAAGCTTTCTTAAGTTAAGAGCTTATCATGAGCTTAAGAGCGCTTGCTCTAAGTACAAAATTGTGGTGCTATATAAAGTAAGCCCAAGATTCACAGTTGTTTAGCAAGATAGGTTAAACCTAATAACATAAAGACTTTTTAGGCTGACTAGCTCACTGAAGGTTTAAAAAATATCAGCCCTGACCATTGTTGATTCTTCTACATTCGTATGGTTACGCAAACAAGCTAAAACATAGAGGTTATTACGTTATTTCAGGACCGATAAAATCTCATGAAAACTCCCCGACCACTAAAGTAAAGTAATTTGCGTAACTAGTCTTCCATCATTCATATTACCTTTCCAGAACTAACTAGTAGTTTTTAATTGATAAATTACAATTTAACCTTAAAACAATGTTACCATGCTGATCACAGATTACTTTGAGAGCGTTATCAGAAGCTATTGATATATCTACTCGTTATCTACGCAGATGCTGATATATGGCTACAAACGCATACGTAAAGACAACTAAAACATTGTTAATATCTTTACTTGGGATATATTGGCGGGATAAATAAAAGAAATTAATTCATGTATTCTTCCAGACTGACCTACATCTGTGCCTTTCATTGAGATCCAGTCAACAGTTTAGGCCACAAATTCTAACAAATATGCATCCATCCGTCTACACTCTTGCATTTATAATATGTCGGAAGTAAGATTATCAATTATATTTCGCCATCGCCAATACATTTATTTTTATTTAATGAAAACTGATTTACGAACGTCTTTCTTACAGATAAAACAGAATGCATGGAGGTAATAATATAACAGGAGTGTGTTCTATCTTTACCTCTTGCAGTTAAAATAAAGAAAATAAAGCCTTAAGCTTAGGGCGTAAGAGTCTAGCTGCACGCAAAATGAAATACATCCATGACAGAATATCTATTAAATTTGAAAGATGACAAAGCAAACAAAGTCAAAACTAAAGGCTCGTAAGGCTAAAAACATTAATTCAGAAATACGAGGTTTATCTTTCAAACGTAGGCGTATAGAAAATTAATTTTCTCTTATCTTAAACTTCTCAATACCGATAAGAGAAACCTTTTCGTCTCGGTGTAGCAGTGTTGGCTCCGACATGGCGGGCCGTGTGTCGGTAGAAACGCGCGCGGGTGAGACAGGAGGAGTGACAAATATAAACATTACTGAAGTTGATACAAACAGAGTAAATTCGAGTAGAGTGAGTAAGGTTGGAGTAGACACAAGTGGAGCGAACTCGAGCGGAGAGACCCAGCCAAAGAATGGTGGAGACGCATTGGAGAGTGCGTTACTCCAATTGGGACCTTTCGGTCCCTACCAGCGTTATGTCTTAACCCTCCTCTGCCTACCTAACCTTTTCGCTGCTATGTATTCACTGAATTATGTATTTGTCGCGGACTCGGTGCCTTTTAGGTACGTTTAAACTTTTTTTTTAGTTATAAACATAAACAGTTTCATTTATTATTGTCGCTTGTTAAATTACTTCTGTAATATTTATTTGTACTTAATAAATAAGTAAATTAAGTAGCATTTAAGTCAGTATTTCTCACAATTTAACACTGATTTTAGTCTCTTTTCTTTTTCACCCTTTTCTTAAGGAAAGGATTGGAAAGGGAAATGTCCTCTTTATGTGCATCTCCTCCTCCGTCAATTAAGGGTAAGCAACGCATCTGCAATTGCGGATGTTTATGAGCAGCGGTCGCTTTCCATTTCGGTGGATTGAGGTGGCCGCTTGCTCGTTTGCTACCTTATATTACAAAAAAAAACTAACTAACTATCAGATGTGGCTAAATTTTACAAGATTCTGTTATTTTTACCACAGATAATACAACTTTTAAGAGGAGATTCTCAATTTGACTTTTATTTATTTTAGTCGCCAGAGACCGACACAAACTGTCCTTGCCCTTATTACTGTGTAGCATATGTTTAGAAAAAAATATACATTGAAACCATTTCTTTTTAATAAACTAGAAATAAGCTAGCTAATTTATTTCTTGTAAAAACTAATTACATTAAATCATATTAAGAGGTGCACACTGACTAAGCTATCGCACTGCTATTGCTTTTTTTTTACAACATAAGGTGGCAAACGAGCAAGCGGCCACCTGAAATCGCCAAAATGGCGAAGCGACCGCTACCCATAGACATCCGCAATTGCAGATGCCTTGCCTACCCTTATACGACAGAGGAGGAGACACACATAAAGAGGATATTTCCCCTTCCTATGCAACACCTCCACTGTCAAATCCACTTCCACTTCCCAACCTCTCCTTATAAGAAAAGGTTGGTAAAGAGAAAAGGACTTAAATTAGGCCTCCGTCACTACACTCATCAGACGAAACACGGAATTGCTTCTATTTCACGCCTTTCTTCTGTGTGGTCGTGGTATTACACCGGGCGTGCCGGCCCTGCAGTGCTAAGATGTTAAAGCGGGCACTACCACTGCAATTGTGCGATTGTCAATTGTTTCGCAGCCAATTCAACTCTTTAGTTGCACAACAAAGATTCGAGTAGTGTACCTCCATATAAGCTCATAGGAATCAAAGCGAGACTACACAGTTGTGCGATAGTTTAGTTTCAGGTGTGTGCATGCTCTAAATGACAAATAAATAAAAATTAACTTTCGAGTACGGCTTGATTATGTTAAATATTTATCACTAGTAATGTATACGTTGATATTATCTACACTTGTGTTTGATCTTGCAATTTTATCGATACTAAAACGCTGTACAGACTAAATAAATTTCAGACGAGTTGCGCGCGATGCTTGCATACTTATATGTGACTCTTAGTGTAGATTTAATTATCAGATATCTACACTAAGATGGGCCATTTAAATTCAGTACGACATAAAATCCAATTTCAATATAACACGAAGGTAAAAATAACCTATCCATCCATTTTATGTGGTTCATTTACTAATATGAACCATATTTATATATCATTAAAGTTTAAAATTATAATGATTCAGGCATCAGTGCATCAAAGTTCATCTCAAAATACACATCACGTGAATCAACACACATTATGTAACAGCTCTAATAATACTTTGTTAAATATGTCCGAGTGTTCGCAGACAGTGTGTCGTGTTCAATCATGAAAGACCGAGATATTCAGAGATATCGAATTGCGAAATATCGATAACGATACGTCTGCAAATCGTAATAGCCTCGTATTTAAGCAAATAAAATTTAGACAAACACGATGGGTTGCGTGAAACGTGACATGATCAAAAAGGGAGTGATGACTGAGATGACGTATGATAGAGTTATGTGGAGGACAAAAACCTGTTGTGCCGACCCTACCGGAGTAGCATAAGGAGGAGGAGGAGGATGATGATGATGATGACGTCGAATGAAGTCATTATTATAGTTAAATACTATGTATTTAAGTTATGGTTTCTTGCTTTATACTGTTTAACTTGTTTTGTAAAGTACTATCTGTTGCTCGCGACTTCGCCGTGAAATTAAAAAATAAAAATATAGCCTATGTTACTCACTGATAACTTAGCTTTCTAATGGTAATTTTTTGAAATCGACCCAGTAGCTTTTGAGTTATTTCAACACATAAAAATACAAATCTTTGCTCTTTACAATATTAGTAAATCTTATCTTGCTTTTACTAATATCATAAATGCGAAAGTTTATATGGATGTATGGATGTTTGTTAGAGTTTGTTGCATAATGAATAAATAAATAAATAAAAAAACTAAACACTTTTTCAAAAGTAAAAAAAAAAAAACGACAGAACCGATCTCAATTAAATTTGGCAGAGACGAAGAGAGCATAGTCTGAAAGAATATACTTTACTTATTTAATTCCACGCGGACGGAGTCGCGGCTTATGACTAGTATACAGTAAATCAGAAAATATATAAAATAATTATAGGCTTTAGTAATAATGAATTTTGTTAAGACAGTGAGAGTTGAAGGTAATCATAATTTTATGTGAAACAAGTTCCCTTATATGAAAGCGGTTGTATAAACTTTAAGTTACGATTATAGGTAACTTGTAAGCTGAAACAGGGTTAACAAATACTTAAACTAACCTTGTTAAATATCAACATACCAATAAATAATAATAAAATGAAAGTGCAATGAAAACCTTACAATAAACGTGTTAAAACACAAAAAAAAACTTTGTTGCTGAACCCAATAACCAATCTTCGATCGATCGAAAGATTTTTATTGTTTGGTGTATAAACATGGATCGATCTCTCTCTAAACAATAGTATGTTCTTTTCGTTAATTGCGATTTATAGCAAATAGATTAAAAATGGCAACTAAAAATTCTTTAAATAAAAAAATGCGTCGATATTTACTGTTGGGATAAAATTTATGTCATTTACCCTGTGTTTAACAGGAAGTGATATAATCTGGATGCGGTAAATCAGTGTGGTTTAAACCTGAGCAAAGATGTCGCCACTGAGCCATGAATGTCGCAAGAAACCGATACTGCCGCGTGTTACGTGTAACATAACCTTTACGTTTTATAAAAATATTTAAAAATAAAACGAAAATACCTGTACCAATATATTTATTAGTATTTATACTTTGACTATTGTCATATGAGTAACGATTATTTTATTATTCTCTGGAAACTATGCCTTGTCTGTACAGTTTTTGGCTATTTACAAGTTAGCAAAGCTAAAATGTTTTTTATGTATCGTTAATTGGTTATTTTACAAATTAAATCAAAACTTCGATACACAGAATCCTTGGTTTATTTTTTAATTACCTATAACTTAGGGAATGTAGGTTGTATGGCAACATAGATATTAATAGTCTGTGCCCAATAGGCAAGGATGACCGGCAGATGGCGCCTGCATTCAACGAGTTTCTGTGTAATTGCATTTAAATACTGTAATTAACTATGGTATTTATCTAATTATCTATGTAAATGCTTTCTCGTCTATGGCTGAGACTTTACGCGCCATTATCGTTTTAAATGTTTTTAATGAATATTCATTAATTTATTATAATTTGTACTATTTTCGGAATAACATGTCCCTAATTAAATGTTAATATATATCACATCGCAATACAAAATGCATAACGAAGGTTATACTTGTATTACAATTTTATGTTTTGAGGTTAGTTTAATGTAATCTATAGGATTAATCGAAACACAAACAAAAATGAATCGTTAATTTATTGTAAATCGCTACAAAACTTCTCCGATTCTAAACCAATTTAAAATCGTTGGCTTCTATAAAAATTAAATAACTTTATTTTCGTTGTAATATTTATATTCAGAGATATACTTGAAAGAACTTTAACTAGTTTCGTTCAATAATTAAGTAGTAACATCAACTTAAGTGTAGTGGTAGGTAAAAGCGTAGATCTAATAGTTGTTGCTGCAATTATTTCTAAAAATAGAAAAGTATACGCCCGGCTACAGGTTGTAAGCAGGTTGGGGGCGTAATGTTATTACGTTGTCTGCTCACATGCGTCTAAATTTAGACACCTGCACTTGGCAACACTATTTCTGTACAAAACGACATTTGCACGAGGTCAATGACCTATGATTATGTGGAAAAACTAGCCACCGCCCAGATCCGGCTGCGTTTCACTACACTTGCTGCTTAAATAACTTTCAAACGTCTATTTATAAATGCTAAGGTTTTCGCCTGAGGTAAATAGATGCTACTTGTGTTTGTTATGGTCTAGGTAGTTGTTCGGTGTTGACTAAAATCTTCCTGGTAACATTAGACGTTACTCTACGTTACTTTCGCGATTATGTTGGTATCATTGACTTGTTGGCACTGTACAAAACTATTCAAACGTAGATACAAACGACTCCTAATTCTGAACAAAAAAAATTGAGACATCGACGTTACTAGATTTATCAGAGTGTAACAATGTCCTCTCACAGGCTCACCGGATATTCACTTACGTATCATTTTATTCTTAGAGCTGCCTACACCTGAAAGTAAACTATCGCACAACTGTTTAGTCTGGCTTTGTTTCCTATAAGCTTATATGGAGGTGCGCTCACTACTCGATTTTTAGTTGTGTAACTAAATAGTTCAATTTGCTACGAAATCGACAATCGTACTAAAGTTGTGCGAGAGTTTAGTCAATGGTGTGCGCCTCTTATTGTTTACTCCTGTTTTAGATGCATAGTGCCGGAGTGCGAAGGGGCTGGTGTGTCGTTTGGCAACGAGTCGCTGGCGGCGCTGCAGTCGCCAGACCACTGCCGCCGCTACCGACCACTGGGCGAAGGACTCTCCTGCGCACGAGAAGACTACCACCACAGGGAGACTCTAGAATGCGATAACTTCGTCTATGAGAACTATGATACTGTATATGCTGAGGTAGACAGTTGAACGTTTTTATTTTAATTAGTTTTTATGTAGTTTGGACACTTTTGATCTTTAGTATTTAAGTTGACTTGAGAATTGTGCCTTATGGTTGAATAGGCAATATGCTTATGACACCATATTGGACCAAACTTTTTTAAGTATACTTTGTTATTTACGTCACGTGTCTCAAGCTGACTCCGGTCGCGTTTATGAGTTAATATTTTTTTCTAGTTATCTTATAACAAGTAGAAACGTTTAAAAAAATACATGCATTATTCCCAATTGTTCAAACGTGGACATAAATACCTCGTTGTTAATCATACTTTATACTAGTATTATAAATGCGATAGTTTAGACGGATAGATGGATGTTAGAGTTTCTAGCCTTATAGGGTGAACGGATTTCGATTAAATTCGGTAAAGATGTAGAGGATAGTCTGGAAGAACACATTTGTTTAATTCAGCGCGGCCGAAGTCGAGGGCAAAAGGTAGTAGTAATAGGTAATAATGCTTCTGATGACTACTGTCATACGTAGATCCTAACAAGGGTATCCTAACAAGTATTATGCGCACGCGCAGTTCGGCCTGGCGTGCAGCGAGTGGCGGCGCACCCTGGTGGGCTCGGTGCGCAATGCCGCGCTGCCACTAGCCCTGCTGCTCACTGGACACGTCTCCGATCGGTAAGTTGTGAGCGTTGTACAGGTCTGGAAACTCGCAGTGTTCCACTTACAAAACAAGACAAATTCCGCCCCTTTTTATAAAAAACCAATTAGGTAGAAGTAAGTTTAAGTGACGACGTCATAATAAAAAAAGAAACAATTAACTTTTTCTCTAACAGTTGGGGCCGACGTACTGCATTCTGCGTGTTCTCAGGATGCGCTGGCGCGTTGGGTCTGATCAAGTCATTCTCCCTCAACTACTATATGTATGTGGCTCTCGAGTTCCTCGAGGCGGCGCTCGGGTACGGCTTCGGCAGTGCCGCTTATGTTATGGGTGGGTCGGTTGGAACACGTGATATTTACTATTTTCAATATCAATACCTTTATCTTCCCACTGTTGGACACACGCCTTTCCCGAGACATTCCAGAGATAAAGGCTAATGATAATGATTCCAATACCAGTTGCTGTCTTTAAATAAAGTAATGAAATCTACTATTTGAATGCAAAGAAGTCTCTAAGTGTTTTTTCTAATCAAATTATTTATAACTATGGCCATAGTTTGATTTCGGGTGTGGATCTAAGTATCTCATCGTCTTGGTATAATCTATAGTGGTAGAGCTAGCCCGTCCATCGCTACGCGCGCCGTTCGCGTGCGCGACTGGCGTGGCGTACGGTCTGGGGGGCGTGGTGTTCGCGTTGCTGGCGTGGCGCGTGCCGTACTGGCGCTGGTTGGTGCGCACAGCATACGCGCCCGCGTTGTTGCTACCGTTCTATTGTCGCCTAATCGATGAGAGCCCGCGCTGGCTGCACGCTGCGGGCGACACGCAGGGAGCCGCGGGTGTTCTCAGGAAAGCAGCCCGCTGGAATAAGGTACGCAAACTAATAAATACTTAGACTTTTTTCTTCTTTTTCGCTCCTTTTCTTTAATATAAATTGCATCATACATTGTCGCATTTGGTGCGTGATTAGATCAAGACACGCTGATATGTTTAGTGACAGATTACAAAGTTCTTCAAAAATTCTTCAAAAAAGACTTCTTGCCCTCTGTGACGAATTTGTTAGAAAAATGTAAACCAATTTCCATTGCAAATGACAAAGAGTTTATTTATGGTAACCTCTCCCTACGGCTATCAATAAAGTTTTGGAACTCCAGTTGGTAATTATCCACTAACAATTGCAGGTCACAATAAATGAAAACATATTAAAATCTATCATCGCAAACGAGAAGGCAGACACAGAGGATGTGGAGGGTAAGAAGAGTGGTGTGTTGCCATGGTCGACGCTAGTGACGTCACGACCACTGCTGCTGCGTCTGGCGGCTTGCGGCTGGTGCTGGGCGGCCGCAGCCTTCGTCTACTACGGACTCACCATCAACTCGGTCGCGCTCTCCGGCGACAAGGTCTCTTACTAAAGAGCTTGTTGAACTAACAGTTTATAGCAAAACTTGTAGCCACAGAGCATATTTCTATACGACACGTCACTGCGGTTTATATGTCCTATACGTTATTGTATTTGTGTGCAGTATGTAAACTTCGCACTAAACATGACAATGGAGATGGTGGCCTCGCTGCTGATCATGATGTCGCTAGAACGCGTGGGCCGCAAGCGCACCGTGCTCGCCGCCTTCCTGCTCTGCGGCGTCGCTTGTATCGCGCCGTTCTTTGTCAGTAAGTACAAACGAGAATTTTGGCGGTGTGCCACCTTAAAGCTATTGTCGTTTGAACGGTTTTGTAGAAGCGAAATCATAAGCTATAGGAAGCAGACTTTAAATGTATGTGTCCGAAAAAATGTTGTCCATGGTACTGTTAGGAACAAAATTAGTACCGAGCTATAGAATTGGCGCAACTCTAGATTATCAGCATAAACGTCACGTCCCTAGCTGACAGCTGTCAATGTCACTAGAAGTATGGATAGATTGGCGCGCAACTCGAGTCTTGACGAGAAGTGTTGCTCTGAGTTTAAAGCGACAGTATCAATTAAATAAGTTGTCTAAAAGTACGAAGCTAATTGTTTTTATTATTACCCTATAGTTTGCACAACTCACTGCTACCTAATTGTAAGTTATTTGTAAGAAGTTTTGTCTTGTTGTAAGTAACAAGGTTTTCTGCGACTGTACAGTGCGATACAATCAAGGACATATAGCTGTAGGCAGTGGCTGTGTGTTGCAGCGCACTCGGGCGCGGGGCTGGGGCTGTACTTCGCGGGCAAGCTGGCGGCGACGGCGGCGTTCAACTCGCTGTACGTGTTCACGACGGAGCTGTTCCCGACGGGCGTGCGGGCGCGCGCGCTCACCGCCGCCTCGCTGCTCGGCCGCGTCGGCTCCGTGCTCGCGCCGCAGACGCCGCTACTGGTATACACCTCATTATCTATCTATCTACCTATACTATATAATATACTATTACTAACTATCTATACTTTAATATAACAAAGCGTAAACACACACTACTAAGTTACGTAGGATGTCCACAATCACAGCATATTTTTGAATTATTATTTCTTTAATAAAAAGTCCTGCACTTACGACACGCTTTAGGCTACATATTTTCACGCTGTTAAACTTACGGTGAAGGAAAACATCTTGATGCAACCTGCACATATCGGCGAAGAAATTCAAAGATATGTGTGAAGTCAACCAACCCGCACTTGGCCAGCGTGGTTGACTATGGCCTAGTCACCCCTGATTAGGGTAGGCTCCGAGCCCCTCGGTGGGGACGTATAGTGAGCTGGTGATGATGAAACTTAGGGTGTAAATTTGAAAAAAAAAACAGTCATGCGGGCAAGAGACAATAAACTACAAGCCGACAACATCAAGACACAAGGTTACTATGGTAACAGTAAATGTCAAAGGCCTTTGTTGTCATTTGTTCATTTAAATTTTAACATTTGCAATTGAACATTTCACAAATGTAAACAATAAAATAAGGTTTTTATAATAGGATCTGCGATCTTGACACTGGAATCGCTACTTTATGTAAATTTCTCACGTATTTTATTGATTAAAATAGCCGTTTTATTTTTGTTTTGCAGAGTAAAGGTGTGCAGACGGCGCTGTACGCGGGGTGTGCGCTGTCGGCGGCGCTGGCGCTGCTG